AAAATTTTCTTCTTCTTTAAAACACTACACAAGTAATACACAATAAAACTTGTTAATCTAAAAAAGATTTTATTTTTTGTATTTTGTGAATATTTTACTTTATAGTTGAGAAAAGTAAAAGCTTGAAATATGTTATCACAAGCTCAAAAGATAAACCAATTTGGAAAACATCTATTTTTTGTTGTTCCACAAAAGTAATATATGTAAAAGTAACATGTAACACATTGAGCATTTTATTATTTAAAAAAAAAAATGCACTATTTTTAAATTGATAAACTTGATTATAAGAATTTGACTGAAAGATTTGTATTTTTTGCTTGTGGGTCTTTAATATTTTATATAGAATACCCAAAAACTACAATGACAAAACGCATATATTTGAAACAAAGAAATAAATTTTATAAACTATTTAAGTTGATTGGAAAAAAATGTTTTTGAAAGTTTTTGGAAATTTCAAGCAAAATTTCCCTGATAATTTTTTGTACTTAGGGTTTAATACATGGTTGGGGTGATTTGGATGAAGATGCTAAACGAGTTGATAATGCAGAGACATCAAGAATTGCTGTTTGCAACTGTGATTGGGACAAGATTACAGCAACTGATTTGTTTGGTATAATTTATTTTATTATGTTTAGATATAGATTTGTTTGGTATAATTTATTTTATTATATTTAGATATAGCACCTGTGGTTTTACACTTGTGTTAAACCAACTATGGATACCAAACTTAACACTTTTTTGTGCTTTGAATTAAAAATTAAATAAAATGCTATTATCGAAAACCGATGGCATTTTTTAAGTTTATTGAAGCGATATTTTTTTGTTATTTTATATGCATTTATAAATTACACAATTAAAATTAAAAAATGGGCAGTTCAACATTCACCATGAAAGTTGCTGAATGCGGAAATTTTTCAATCAATCACCTGACTTGGGCCAGATGTTGCTGAGAGTTTTTTATAAATGATTACCAATACAAAGGTGGAATTAGATCCAAAATGATTTAATTCATGAATGACATTTCTAAATTTTTTGGCAACCTTAACTTGGAGTTACACTAAATTCCTTAAATGATTGCCTCGAGGAACAAAATCCCCTGAGATTGCCGTGTTCAAAAAGCAACAATTGCTTGGAAAGCTAATACTACTTGGAATATTGAGAAGTTAGAAGATGCTTGCCAGGCAGAAAGTTTTCGTCCTTCTTTGTTTCAAGGGCTAAAAAAAAATTCCAAAGCAAGTTTTAAAAAAATCATATCCATCATTGATTCAAAACTTTTAATAACATGCTTTAAAAACACTTTTGGTGTCAAAAAGATTTCTTCAATGAGATCATTCAGACTCTTACAATGTGCAACAATTTGAATTAACAAAGACATATATTCAACAATTTGAATTAACAAAGACATATATTCAACAATTTGAATTAACAAAGACATATATTCAACAATTTGATTAACAAAGTTTGTTAATTCAAACAATTTGAATTAACAAAGTTTAATTTTTTGAGTCTGAGGTTGTAAACATAAATGTTTGGGTAAGAGGTCTTTTAAGTTTTATTCAAGTTCTGGAAATTTGTTCATAATTTTTGACTCCATTGTTAGTACAGTACAGTATTTCTTAAACTAGCGCAAGATCCTTTGTTGTAATAACAGGAACATCCTTGAAAAGCTGTCTAGCAATGTAAGGTCTTAAAAAATAAAAATATTGTTTTCTAAAATGGATCCTTAACTGCCAAGACAGGTTGTGTTCTTATCTTAATAATCCATAAAAAATAAATTTCTAGTCAACTAAACTTACTAAAAACAATTGTTTATTGAGATATTAGCAAAAAACTTCATAATTTTTGACACCATTTTTTTTCTCTCAAAGGTAAATTCCAGCTTTTTGATTTTTTTAAAATATTGTCCTGATTAATAAATAACCTCAATACAAAAAAAATTCTTTAAATCAAGTTTTAAATGTTAAATTTGAGTTTTCTCTTTAGCAGTTAATTTTTATGTAGAAAAATACCTTTATATTTAATATGTAGAAGAACACATTTATATTTAATACCTTTTATAAAACATATAATAAGTAAAAAAAATATCAAGATCAATAAATAGTGCTTTAAAATTTACAAAATAGTTCTTTAAATCAAGTTATAAAAATTTTTAATTTATAAAACAAAACTAATATTAAGTGCCATAAATATTAGTTTTTTTTTTTGGATTTAGTAAAACATAGTGCAAATAAATTTAATTTCAGGGTAAATAAAAACTAAATTAATTAATGGAAAAAAAAACAAAACAAAGTAGAAAAGCTGTATTCTTTGCTAAATTTACTGTTGAGTTGAAATGCTTAATGTATTGCAAAAAAGGAAAAACCTAATTGTGTGAATTGTTATAAAAAATACATTTATTATTCAAACCAGATGTTTAGACAATAAAAAAAAACTATGCAGATTTATTAGGTTAATATTACCTCTCCTCTTAACTGGAATTATTAAGGTAAAACAGCAAACCCTTTTTGTTTATATATCAATAAATAATTGGTTTTGGTAATTTTAATTAATTCAAAACTTATTTCCTCATGTTTATTTACAAAATAAAAATAAGTTGTCTCGGTATTTGGGAATCCATTTATGTAATTTTCTATTTAAATACAAAAACCAATATGGTTGTTATTTACCTGGATTAATTGATTGTGGTTTGCCTCCGTTTGCATAAGAAAACCTCATTGTCCCAGGAGGAAAAGCATCCTTACCACACACACACACACACACACACACACACACACACACACACACACACACACACACACACACACACACACACACACACACACACACACACACACGAGTGGAACTCTAAAATATATATAATTTAAAAGCAACATTAAAAAAGCAAATCAAGTTTTACTTGTTTTTAGTGCTAAGTTGGTAGAACAATAAGATTAACATTTAGAAAATATTTTTGTTTAAAAAAGTGTAATATAGGGAGGTCATGTGATTGTGCAAATGCTGCACATTACATGATCTCCCATTATGCAACAATTAAATATGGAAGGCATCTAAATTGGTGTTTAACTGAAGATTTTTATTTAAAGTGATTTTTATATGTGTTTTATAAACTGAGATTTAACACAGATTACTCAAACTATGTATTTTTTTATTCCATCTTTTTTTTTTTTTGAGTTTTTGATTACACTTAATCTTTGCATTTACATCTTATATTACCTAATTACAATTTATGTTTCTTAATCACTATTTAAGTTTCCTAATTACAATTTATATTTCTTAATTACAGTTTGTTTTCTAATTACAATTTATGTTTCCTAATTACAATTTATGTTTCTTGATTACAATTTATGTAATCTTAAATACCACTTTTATTTTTACTAATAATTTTTGTTTTTTATTTCTTTAGTTCTATTCAATTCATTTAAACCATCTGGTGGTAACATAGTTTCAGTAAATGTAAGTTCTTATTTCCATTATTTTAAGTACTATATTTGTATCTATTAAGATCGCTAAGGAAATAGGCGAATCAATTTTTCAACATGTTATAGCATGGATGTTGAAAATGTGTTGAGTGTTGTTTCTCACTATTGAAAAATAAGTTTATAAAAGGATTTAATTGCTTTTTGATGAAATGGCAATGATGTTAGAGGATCTAATTAGATTACTAGTGTTAAAAAAAAAAATGCCATTGTGAAGTAATTTGATTTGATGCCATTGTGCAATAGTTTATTTGCTGTACTTAAGATATAAAAAATTTTTTTTGAAAATATTTCAAAATTTTTAACTTTGTACATTTTTTTGGTCAAGATTTATCCATCTGATTATGGCATTCAACGCATGAAAGAAGAAGATTTAAAAGGACCACAGGAAATTAAAGAATTGCCCAATGAAAATGAAGAAGTGGAAGAAGGGTCTGAAGTAAAGTCCGAGATTTTTTTTTACTACTGTATTTGTATGAAAAATATTTTAATTTGATTATTTCAACACGTTTGATGCATTAATCCTTTTTTATTTAAATAGGGTTCCTCATTTCATATGGAAAAGTTAAGAGAGTATCAGTTAAACAGAATGAAGTATTATTATGCAGTTGTGGTTTGTGATAGTAAAGGTACTTTTATTTACTTTGTGTCTTGATAAAAAAATCATATAGTTACAGAGTGACAACAAAAATAAATCACAAGAAGTTGGAAATCTAATGTAGATAGAGAGGTAAATAGAGGTTTATAGGTAAACTAGGTAGATAAAGATGTAGAGGTAGTTAGTACTGATAGATTGGTAGATAAAGAAGTAGAGGTAGGAAGTACTGATAGATAGGTAGATAAAGAGGAATAGGTAGTTAGTACTGATAGATAGGTAGATAAAGAGGTAGAGGTAGTTAGTACTGATAGATAGGTAGGTAAAGAGGTAGAGGTAGGTAGTACTGATAGATAGGTAGATAAAGATGGAGAGGTAGTTAGTACTGATAGATAGGTAGATAAAGATTTAGAGGTAGTTAGTATTGATAGATAGGTAGATAAAGATGTAGAGGTAGTTAGATAGCATATAGTTTTTAGTAATAGCAAAAAAATTTTAAAATCTGTTATTTTAAAATTACATTAGAAACAGCAGACAAAATTTATTGTGAATGTGATGGAATGGAGTTTGAAATGAGTGCTACTCACCTAGACCTTCGATTTATTCCTGATCATGTGACCTTTGACGATAGAGAGCCCAAATCAACTGCAACTGAATTGCCGAATATTAACTCTTACGCACCTGCTAAGTAAACAAATTGTATTTTTAAAGTTTAGATAAATAACTTGATGTTTTAATATTTAGATATCCTTATTTATGTATATTTATATATGTATATTATTTATTTTTTAAAAGATTTATAAATACTGCTCTTCAGCAAAGTACTGTACGCTTAACATGGGATGAAACGGACACAAAACGAATTGAGAAAACAATGCGAAAGTTTACTAAAGCAGATATAGATGAAATGGATTTCAAAGAATATTTAGGTATGTATTATTTTCATTTTAATATTTATTATTATTTGATCTTAATTATTCTAATTTTTCCAGTTTCTAAATAAATAAAACTATTAAATAAAAAACTTGAGAATTTTTCAAATAAGAATCTCTTACAAAAAAGCATTTTTGTTTGGATTTAACTTGGCCTTGGCACTAACCCTACTATAATAATTATAAACAACCCTTTTGAATAGGGTACCATATTGCTTTTGTCTTGCAAATATGGAATAAATTAAAACTAAGGATTCTGGGATCGAAATGCGGACAAACAACTCAAAAATGTATAACAATAGCAATACTCAGTTTTCAATATAAACTCTCAATAATTTTTTGAGCTCTTGTTTAGTCATAGTAAAAGATGATTGCAATGAAAGTTTTTTAAATTTTACAGTTACTTTAAATTTGTCATTTTAAAGCCTAATTACTTTGAGTTTTTATTTTTATCAGTAGATAAATTTTTATTTATATCAGAAGTTTAATCAGTTTACTTTGACAATTAGTAAAATAAACAAATGAATTTAATGAATCTTAGTATGCTCAGAGTGGGTACATTAGAGTGGGTACATTTGAGTTAGTGCATTTTCCAAAGGTTAATAAATTTCCTTTCCTTTATATTAAGCACCTGAAAGTAAATGCTTAAACAAAAAGAATTTGTCAAGGTCAAAAAAATGTTAATCAACTCTGTAAACTTTGACTGTTAAAATCAATTTTTTTTTAAATAAAAATATTAAAAACATATTTAGTTACAGGGTTATTCATTCTTATATGTGCGTCTATTCATTTTTATATGCGCATTTATTCATTCTTATATGCGCATTCATTCATTTTTATATGCGCATTTATTCATTCTTATATGCGCATTTATTCATTCTTATATGTGCATTTATTCATTTTTATATGCGCCTTTATTCATTCTTATATGCGTTTTACAAAAGCAATTGTAAAAAAGCAATTTGAACAAAAAAAAATTATTTAAGCAAATTTGTTTTGAAAAAAATAGTTTATTTTTTCAAAACAAATATTTCTTATTTCCAGGTAAACGAGGTTAAAAATACTTAAAACGAAGACTTTTTACATTTGACGATGGTTTATTTAATTTAGTATAAGTTCTTTGTTTTCGATGATAGTTTATTTAAATTAGTATTAGTTCTTTGTAATTTTATTATTAAATTTCTTGATTGATTAAGTTGTTATTCATCTAATTATTCATTTATCTAGATTTAAATTTAATTATTTATAATTATTATTAATATCAAATTATACATCCCTATGGATGGAATAGAAAATAGCAGTACCAATCGTAAAACTAGGAAAATTGTTACAAATTGAAATGCTTAAGCATTTAATTGAAAGAAATCAATCTACAACAAGCATTTCCACTTCTCTTAATTTATCGAAGCGCACAGATCAAAATTTTGTCGTTAAGTTAAACAGGATAATTCGACGACATGACTGCATTCAAGTCGTTTTCTGATAAAAAACGAGGTAAAAGACCTATAAACTCTCAAATAAAAAATAATATCAAATTATGCCTACAAGAAAACAATCTTTGCACGCAAGAAGCAATAGAAAATATCATTCTGCAGCAGGCTTCAACATGTCTCAGTATTTCAAGAAAACTCAAACGCTCAGATTTATCAAGAAAACGTGTTGTGCATGTGCCGAAGTACGAAACTCAAACCAGTTATTAATGCACGCTATGCATTTGCAAGCAAAATAAACGGAACTTCAGGTGAAAAACTTATTTATTTGGATGAAACTGGATTTAATATGCACACTAGCAGCTCATATGGTTGTTTGCTAAGAGGTACGCCAGCAATTTTACAGTCACCTGCAAATCGTGGTAAAAATGTTAGTTTAATTTGTGCTGTTTCAACAATGGGAGTGCTTGCTTATGAAATAAAAACTGGAGGCTGGAATGCAGATTCAATTTGTACTTTCATAACTACAATGATGGCACCAGAGATTAGGAATGCAAAGGTTGAAGCGCCGGTGCTTGTTATGGACAATTGTAAATTCCACTGGAGACATTCTATTAGGCAAACACTAGCCTCTCGTGGTATAGCTATTAAGTTTTATATTACATGGTATAGCTATTAAGTATTACAGCTGTTGAGTATTGATATTAATAATAATTATAAATAATTAAATTTAAATCTAGTTAAATGAATAATTAGATAAATAATAACTTAATAAATCAAGAAATTTAATAATAAAATTACAAAGAACTAATACTAAATTAAATAAACTATCATCGAAAACAAAGAACTAATACTAAATTAAATCAACCATTGTCGAATGTAAAAAGTCTTCGTTTTAAGTATTTTTAACCTCGTTTACCTGGAAATAAGAAATATTTGTTTTGAAAAAATAAACTGTTTTTTCAAAACAAATTGCTTAAATGATTTTTTTTTTGTTCAAATTGCTTTTTTACGATTGCTTTTGTAAAATGCATATAAGAATGAATACAGGCGCATATAAAAAAATGAATAAATGTGCATATAAGAATGAATAAATGCGCATATAAAAATGAATAAATGCGCATATAAAAATGAATAAAGGCGCATATAAAAATGAATAAATGCGCATATAAAAATGAATAAAGGCGCATATAAAAATGAATAGACGCGCATTTAAGAATGAATAACCCTGTAATATGTATGTATATATTTTTTTAAAAATTTGCGACCAAATAAAATAAGTACATTTTTACAAAATTGTTAATAAATACATTTTAATCTATAATTTTTGAGATCCATTAAAACAATAAAATTGTATTTTTTATGTTTATGCAATAAAGGACTAAAAATACAAAAAATCATGGCTATTTCCAGTATTAAAATCATGGCTATTTCCAGTATTAAAATCATGGCTATTTCCAGTATTAAAATCATGGCTATTTCCAGTATTAAAATCACCAATGTATTTATATCAGAACTAATAGAGTTTACAAACTTCTTTCTTTGATTATTTGCATCTGTGTTAATATTATTACTATTCTTTTCAATAGAAAAATCTACAAGATGTAAACTTTTTGTTCAAATATATAATTTTAAAAACTTTTTTTTTCTTTTATCCTTTTACAAGGTTTTCATTGAGTCTTTAGTTTTTTCTATTTTCATTAAGTTACACCAGCTGGCGTTACACCAGCTGGCGTTCAGTAGCGTAAATCTGATAAGAATAAATCCTAATTCCATTGTTTTATTTCATTTTCATTCTTTTCTGAATTGTTATTTAGTTTCTTTGCATTTTGTAATGTTTGTTCGCATTTCAATCCGATTTTATTTCCATTATATCCCAAGTTTATTTGCGCAGGAAATAAAATAAAAAAATTAAATATAAAATAAATAAAAAAAAAGTTTATTTGCGCAGGAACTTTAGGTTTTGAAAGTTTGCTTATTCACTGTCAGCTTCAAGAAAAAAATAAAAAAAGCTTTTTTTTAGCTAAAAGGGATGTCAATCAATCACGAGGTTTTTTATTATAAAATTTGAACTTGAAATTCAAATGAATAAACTTGTTCCTCCACGCAGTGGCCTTGTTCATAAAGGTTCAGGTTTCGGAGTTGAGAGTTGAAAGAGGTTTGTAATCACAATAAAGTAGCCTCCTTGACTGTAGTGGTTTTCTCAGCCTTGGGATGAATAATGTAAAGGATAAAAAAGTGGCAATATCAATCTGTAAAATTATTTGATCAAAAATTGTGATAATATTTTTGGAAATAATGATTCAAATATTAGTAAGTCTTCTCTTATAGCTGGACCATCGCCTTAAGTTGGAACAAGTTCTTTGGCATTTGTTAGTTTTATAAGTTTGCCAAGACCTTGTAAGAAGCAACAGCTGATGTCATTATATAGATTATCAATTCAATATCTTTGAAAATCTAGCAATATTTAAAAAAGCTAATAGTCTTTTATTCCAACTCAAAAAAATTGGTATTGTTTTAGAATCTAGTATTTAACTTTTTTTTAAATGAAACTTTCCATTACAAAATACGTCTTTATAGACCTAAAGGAAAAATAATAATTAAAAATAGGATTAAATGATAATAAAGTAGGTAAAAAATATATAATTGGTTAAAACCTAATGATTAAAAATAAAGATGAGGCAGAAAATGGCTTTACAATCATTATCCTAATTTTGTTCCTTGGTTGATTTTGCTTAAATTAAAGGACTGTGATACCTAGGTTTTATACTAGGATGTTAAGCAACCAAATTATATCAACATTATCATGCAGTGATTGGTGGCCTATCATTAACCCAAGAAACAAGAAGTATTAGAAAAAATTTCATAAAAAATTTTGGATTTTGCTGATCTAATTCTAGATCAATTGAAAGAATATTTTCCCAGTTTGGTTTTATCTGGTTAAAAGTTAGAAATAAAATGTGAGAAGTGAAAAGGCAAAAAAGCCTGTGCATATATTTATGTATAGACAGTATCAAAAATAGATAGTTGGTTCGTAAAAAGGAAAACATCGTTTACGGAATAATGAATCAATGATATCAGCAATTAAAGCTGTTAAAAATGGAGTTTCACAACAAGCAACATGTAAAGCTTTTGACATTCCAAGATATTGGTTACAAGTTTGACTTTCTAGACTAACTGAATGTCCAAACGTGAACATTCAACTATTTTTGATGAAGAAGAAAATAAATTAATTGATTTTGCATATAATCGTGCAGTTTTAGGAATTGGATTTGATCGTTTTTTATAATATGCTGAAAAGCCTAAAAAATCTTATTGAATTAATCTTTTAGTTTATTTGGTTTCCGAAAAAATCATTGTGAAAAAACTTTTATTTAAAATATTGTGTTAAAAATTTTATTTATTAAAATTTATTGAATTAAAAAATTTTTCTTTTATATCTAGCTACTATAATATTTTTATGTTTTCAGAAATGTTGGTTATGATAGTTCATAGAATTATAAAATTTCTTTAAAAAAACAACAATATAAAATAGATTACCTGGGTTTTATTGGATTTTTTTAGGCA